AATTTTTGATAAAATATTAATTAATAAGATAATATATTATATTTTTTATTTTATTTAATTATTAAATATTTACTAAATCATATTATTTTTCTTTATAAATAATATATAATACTATAAAATTGAATTAAGTATGTTTGGGAACGCGCAGGTGAGGGGCCAAATGCATTTTGAATTCAAGATATTACAAATGTGCAGAGGAAACGCAATGTACGATTACGCGATCTGACAAAGAAGCGCAGCTACGAAATGGACCAGTCACGTGCTGATGTGAAATGTGGCGTTGTTGAAAAACGGAAAAACGCGTATAAAATTTTAACGTGTTTTACTTTTTCAATTACGCAAATCCTCATCCATTTTAACATCTTCCTTTTCAAAAATGTCAATATTCTTCGATGCACCCGCGGAAGGTTGGACGTATTGCGCCGACAACGTGGAGCAAGAGTTTTACCCTGGCCACTCAGGTTAGCTTTTGTGAACACTGTGGTTCAATTCTGCTTTGATCCTAAATCCTGATAAAATTTTTTAGCTCTTGTTGCTTATCTGCAAGAACATGAAATCTGGTCATATAGCGAGTTCTTGACCCTCCATCAAGATATCATTGTTAATGCACTGCCCTTTTCAACCAAGTGGAATGGCCTCGACGGCATCTGGACTAAACGATTTTTGAAAGTGGCAAAAGAGCTCGATTCAAATGCCTTCGAAGATCTGAAGAATAAGGTGCTTTTATCTCGTTTTTCTTGAGCCAAGGGCGCTCCTAGTCAGGTGCTGCCCTGGCCCAAGTGATGGTGGGAAAGCACTCCTGGTCAGTTGCTGCCCTGGATCCACCATTGCAACGGCACATTTTTTTGCTTGCTCAATTTTCATCATTATTTGCGACTTGTATTTCTTTAATATTCTTAATATTGCATGAGCTTTCTCAACAGATGGTATCCGAACGTTCGACCAATAGTTTGAAAGCCTATTGGGAGGAAGTCATCTGCCGGAAGACGGTGCGTTAAGCCATATGCAATAAGTTTATTCTTATTACAGTGTTGTTAACCGCCAATCATTACTGCTCTCTTAAACAAGCAACTTGCTAAAGCTGTGAAGAGCCGCTTAAGCACCGTCACACCCACATCAAAACGGGTATCGAATAAGCGGGAGGACTTGGACGCCGGCGCCGAGAATGAGCGAGAGGAAGGCGAAGACGACGAGGTATAGTATTCTGATTGTACCCGCTCGTTTCGTACGCGGGATATCTGATTTGCCTGCTCTTTCGAAATCTCCTCAGGTGCAGTCGACAGAGAAGTACCCTGGTCGCGAAGGTATGTGTAATAATGAGTAATGGGTTGGTCGGAAGCTGTTTGTCTATTATCAAGCGTGAAATTTTTTTTAGTCCTGGTGGCCTACTTGAAAGGGATAAACGCCAATCGTTGGTCATACATAGATTTTTTGCAAAGTAATCGTGCGGCCATTGTCAACTTGACACCAATCAGTTGTAAGTGGAATACCCTCGATAGCGTATGGACCAGACGGTTTTTGCAAGAAGGGAATGAGATTGGTTCCGCATCAGCTGATGTTATGAAGAAAAAGGTAATACAATATCATTATAGTTAGCTAGCGGAAAGGGGCCTCTTGACAAGTCTCTACATGAATTCAGAGTATTCAGGACTCTTCCTATCCCGAGTGAGAGTGGGAAAACTCCTGCGCAAGTCTTTATATGTGCTTGGAGCATCCGGACTCTTCCTGCGCCCCACTATTGCGATCCGCTTAACTTGTTCGTCGAATGAAAAGAAGTGAACATCTTCATGTCCTTTCTAATAATAATTGTTCTGGTATTTTAACAAGATAAAACTGGAGCGCTCTAAGTCTTCTCGACTTATAAAAACTTTCTTTGAGGATGTGATTGATAAGCAGATGACGGTAAGTTAAGAGCAAATATCATACATTCTGCTCAACAATACACTTCTTCTGAAAGAAACACTGCCAATAATGATTAGTTGGATCTTGAGCGAACATTTGACCGGAATGACTGTGAACTTTTGAAAAAATCTGGCAATTTTCACACTCGCAAACTTTCGTTACATTATGATAGGGGCGCCGAAGATATTCTAGTAAGTCTTATAGATGTCCGTTGTTCTATCACTATCGACATTAAGCGCTCAGCACTTTGTTTTGTCCACTTCACTAGAAATCTGAGAGAACACCACTGAGCGATCTCACAAATGAAAAAGTTACTGCTGAAGGTTTTTCAAGCAAGGTAAGTCATGGTCTGCTGTGTTATTGACTCATTTCCAGTAATTATTGATTTGGTGTGGCCCTTATATCAATCCTACCAACTGGTAACAACAAGCAGTTTGATATAATGTCAAAATATATTTATATATCCGCTCTTTTAATTTTCATTCAGAATGCTGGTCCGGGCGGAGCAGAACGTGAGACAGGACGAAAGCCGTTGGGTCGAATAAATGTGAGTATCCATTTCATATCATTCATCCCGTGCGAACTGATGGCAACTTTAAAACTATTTTATTAAAAGGTTTCCATGGAGAAAAGGGATGAGAATGAGGAGGATGTTGATGTTACATTAATTAATGCAAATGGTTTAAGATTGGTAAGTAGTGAAGAGTTCCCTGTTCACCATTATAAGCTGGGATCCCCTAACCTAATGTTGGTAATCTAATTTCACTTCATTATAAAAGAAACGAAATAAATTTGAGAGAATAGTGCTGAGCGATCGCACAAACGTGAGTGTTGTAGATCCAATAAGAATGTATCTCATTCCATTCCAAATAACATTCATTCATCATCTTGTCCGGCTCTTCATAGACATCCGAAAGCTCTGTCATTGCCACGCAACCGCTTTCCATCACCGATATCAAAGAATGGAGCACAGAACAGCTCACCCGGCATCTTCAAACAAAATTTCTTGATGACTTGGACGATGAAGACCTTGAAATTTTGCGAAAGGGAAAGATTCGGGGCCGTGCATTCCAGATGCTGACAAAAGAAGAGCTCATGGCAGATGGCATGAAACGTGGACCTGCGAGTGTCATCGCTGACTACATTAATAAATTGAAGAGTACGTGCCATTCGAACTTTATCTCGGGCTTTATTTTCTTAAATCCGTCTCTTCATTTAATTATTTTCTTCAGATGAGCGTCCTTTGAAGAGGGTACGAACAACTGGCCTGCGCGGGTCAGCGTCCGAAGATGAGGATTCGCTACAGGAACCGACTCAGCCATTGAAAGCTCACAACTCGGATCAATTTTATAACAAATCAAAGGAAACCGATAAATGCCTCGGAGCACATGCGGTGAGTGTTCTGTTGGTAATATATAGTTATTTCAATCATAATCATTAATGAAAGTCCTAATCAAATATGTTTTTGATATAGGCTTACAACTCCAATCGTGACAACCCTGTTCGTCTAGTGATTCCGACAACAGAGAGTGCAGACAAACTTGCATTCATATCGAACGATCGTCTGGCTAGCTTTGATCAATGGATGACTAAAAACCCTTTCAGCTTGCTACGCAGTCCACCGGCATCTGGCAAGACCACGCTTGCCAGTCTGCTGCAGCAATACCTTACCAGCCTGGGACGGACAGTTGTACATATCTCAATGCTTAGCATGCAGGAGCTCATCACGGACATGGACGCCGTGGCCTTTGACGCGTTTTGGAAGTTTCATGCCGGATTAACATGGACTGACTGTACGACGTGTGAATCGCCCATCAATGTCTTGATAGACGAGGCGCAGATTCTGTACGGCGGAGTTTCATTCTTCTGGACCGCGCTTAAACGCCTCATGAACCCTCGATTCACCAACCCATATCTGAGGGTCCTTCTGAGCATGTATGGAGATGCTGGCGTTGTAACGGACACCATTTCCACTGCCACACCCATCGAATTTTCGGCGACACTGGGCCTAGATGACCTCCGCATGACACGAGACGAATATGATCAGCTCGTGACAAAGTTCATAGAAGCCTCCGTCTTTCCGATATTAATCCCTTCCAAGGTATGCGATGCCATCTTCAGCGCTACACATGGACATGCAGGTATCATCAGACGCATGCTGGATTTTCTCGGAGGCCAATATCGTCGCGGGCTTCGACGCCAGAATGAAATGCTTCGGTACCTCGTCTCTCCGGGCTTTCGAAATGCTATAGAGAACACACGAGCATTTAATTGGTTACGTGAGTGGAAGCCTGCACGCGAAGAAGTACTTTTCCTGCGCCAAGCTCTGTACGAGATGGATTTTGAATCCACCTTTCCTGAGAATGCTGCCGACACTACTACCGTGGACATCATAACGAGGTTCAAGCGTTCAGGGCTAGTAACGCATTCAGGCCCACCGGATAGTGGACGCTTGCAATTCGGCGCGCCGCTTATGCGGATCGTCATTGCCCAACGTCTGTTCAGCATGCCTCTATCACTACGCAACCAGCCCCGAATGTCTGATTTCAACGACTTTCTGTTATGTACAATCGAACGCATGCGGCCGTCCATTCTCCGACGGTCTCTGAGTCGCGGCAATGGAGACTCTGCCAGGTTGCTCGAGAGATCATGGCAGATGGAGTGGTACAGGGCTGCGACCACAGCTGTTCCATATGGCGTGATAATTAGCCCCGACGTCGGACACGTATTTGGTGTGAACGGTTTTCTTGATTTTTATGTCAATGGCGAACTTCAGTGAGGTGTGGAGCTTTTACGGGAGGGACAGGGGCTGAGAAAACATACATTGCGATTTGAAAAGAATGGCCAGTACGCGAACATTCCTCTCAAGGCTTGGGCTGTGGTCGATTTTCGACATATATCCAAGGTGTTGAATCCTGCTGCCAACATCTGGTATGCCATGTATAATGAGGACTTTAACGTTATCACAATTCGACGCCAAGGGAAGAGTGATGTCATCCTTGAGCTGCGAGGGGACCAAACTTGGCCTCGTGACAATGAGGAGGGACCAGATGAATTTCAGTACTAGTATTGAGTTCTTTGGACTGATCCAGAAATCAATCTTGTTTATAATATAATTTTCTTATTTTTTTGACTTAATAACTATATATAGTATATAATAATATAACTCATAAAAAAATATTTTTACCTATTATTTTAAAATCTTTTATTTTTAATATTATAATTTTTAAATAAAATTCAAATATTATAAATTATTTAAATATTATTTCTTCATTATATATTTTTATAAATATATTTAACTTAAAATTTTTAAATTTAAAATTTGCTTGTATTTATAATAATAAAATATTAAATCTTTATATTAAATAAGTATATTATAAAAAGAACTAATATCTGATAAAAGATTTAAAAAAAATTTTAATAAAAATAAAATAAATATATAATTAATAAATTTGTAAAATATTTTTTTGTATTATTATTTTTTATATTATTTTATAAATAATTATATAACTTTTAATAATTTTAATTTTAAAAGTACTTATATAAATATTAAAAGAAATCATCAGATATAGTATGTTAAAAAAAATCAGAAATTTTAATTTTAGTTATATTTAATAAATATTTATTTAATTTATATAAAATTTTAAATTAATAAAATTTTTCATAATTAATATTTTTTTATTAAATTTTTTTTTGAAAAAATTGATTATAAAAAATTTAAAATACTTTTTTAATCTTTT